GGCCTTCAAGTCACCATAGATGCCATCTACTGATCAGTGAAACTGGTTGTCTGGAACAATCTCTACTGTCCAAAAGAAAGGGTTGTCTAAATTAGTAAGTATCCCTATGTTAATTTTATGCCCCAATTGCAACAAAGATGTGAACTGAAACATTTGACAAAGCACCAGTCTGAAGAAACCTGACATGGCTGCAGTGTCGCTTCTGAGAATACATGAACTGTTCAGTTTTGCATCAATGTGTGTCATTGGTTACAGCAACCAAGCAGTGTGCATTCTGAGAAAGCCCCTTATCTAACAGAACCACATTGTTTAAAGCAACTTTCCCCCTTGCCTGTTTAGATTAATTCAGCCCGTGGTGACCCCAAAACATGGCTAAACTAAAGTTCTAAGATGAGAGTAGGAAGAGGACTCAGGAAACAGGGGAGAGGCGAGAGGACATAGGGCTGGATGGGAGGGGCAGCCAACAGGCGGAGAGCAGGGAAAGCAAGGGGGGGGCTATGGGAGCAAGCGCAGGAAGGGGGGAGCAAGCACTTCTCACACTTGGGTGGACAGTCTAGAGGGCCCAGTGGGGTGGCGGCGGGTTCTGTTCACAGTCAAAACAGTCTGGCTGGTCAAAACCTTTATACCTTAGGACCAAGGCTCCCTCTAAGCTGTGGAGTCTTGTGAGCAAAAATTCTACTTTGTGAGCTACTGGCATTAAAGTTGTGATTTGGCTCCTGCATCAATTACTTAGCTCTGGAGCCATCCTTCCTGAGATAAGACAACAATGTGTGAGCCGGAGGCTAGAAAACTGTGAACAAGCTCACACTGATTCAGCTTACAGGGAACACTGCTTAGGACCAAGGTCTGAGTGGGACACCAATTGTCAGTGTTACTTTGGAGCCCAAACAGTGGTGGGGTATGCAGAGCAGAAGGGATTTCCACATACATGAAATGCCAGAATCCCAAATCTTCCGTTATTAGTGAAAATAGTTCAAGTCCACTATATGTTTCAGTGCTTCACATCTGCCTAAAGGGTCAAAACATCATAAACTAAAATATTTATATATCAAAAATGAAGTTCATTTACAAGGCCAGTTTCATGGAATCATTCTTCATATGAGCAGGAAGCGTGTTCCTTATCCCACTGTTGATTCAATTATTTCAGATTCTATCCAAGCAACACTAATTACATTATATACTACGAACATAAGAGAACATAAGAGAGAGGCCAAGGGTGGACCAGGCCAGTGGCCCATCCAGTCCCACACTCCGCCTGTCACACAGTGGCCCCGCACACCACAGACCACAGTTCTTCAGGGGATGTTGACAGAAACATGAGACCTCTGTGAAGGGTGCGGCCTGGAAGTTTAAGCCTTGTCCTTCTCAGCCATTAAAATCTTGTTTGGGGGAAATCTGTGTATTTTCCTGAAGTCTTTGAAGGAAGCAATTATTTATTGAAGAAATCCTCACTCGCTGTAGATATTCCAGCCAGTTATAAACCTGGGCTTGTCTTACCATTCCTTGGCACCGTGATTAAGCTGGTCATGGCGGCAGAGCCCCTTCAGGTCTTCCGGGGTGACAGACCTGCCCTCGCCCCCCACTCTGACTCGGCTACAGGGCAGAGACAGCACACGGGCCATTCCAGCGAATGACTGTCAGGATCCACAGCAAGACAACCAAGTACACGCTTCTAGGAAGGTTTCACTTTTATTGAAAAGCCATAGATGCAGTAACATGAACACTGTTAGGAATGGCGGGTTACCTATGCACATAATAGGATATAGGGCATTCGTATGCGCCCCCTCCCAGCATTACTCAATTAGATGGGCCCCCGCGCGCAGGCATTTGCCAGAATTTCTAACGGCTGCAAAGCTGGGAAAGCAAAGAGCTTCCCACGAAACATAGACATACCAACGCCTCCAATTAAGTGCATGGGAAGGAATGCAAAGCAATTAGAAACATACACCATACTCATGGCAGCTATAGCTGACAATGACCTCGATGACAGAGGAAAGGGCTCTCTGCCGACCCTGCTGGCTTTGTCAGCAGCACGGGGCGCTGCCCATCGTGCCCCCCATCCCACTGCGCCCCCTTCGGCACAAGTAGCCCGAGGCTGGCTGCAGTCCTTCTTGAGCAACGTGGCTACAGAGTGCGGAGAGGAGATGGAGTGGGCCTCCTCCTCCCTGGGGGCTGAGAGCAGCCCGGTCTAAGCCTCCTCCAAGAGGATGATGAGGCCGCCTCAGTCCTTGGGGGGGGGGGGAGCCTGAATGCTGTGGGAAAGCACCCAACGTCAACCAGGGTAACGGACGTGATGCTGGGCAGGAAGGATTGGGGGCAGGGGGGGGGCCCTTCAACATTAACCAGATGCAGCAAAGGGCCCAGGAGTCCTCCTCCTCCAACCCCAACGCCATGGGGCTAGAGAAGCTGATTGACATTGCCTGGAATGCCTCATTCCAAACTCCCGTGTCTCCTGAAGAGCCTGCCTGCTTCGGATATACGGAGCTGTGACGGGGCCACTCTGAGGCCTCCTACTGACCATGCAACGCTGCACGCAGCAGAGCCACCCTTCAAGACAACGTGGACGGCACCCCCGGGGGTGGGGGTGGATTTGTCCGGGGAGCACCTAGTCAGCTGCATGATGGGTCAGCTGCCTTTCTGTCTCCCTTCCTCTCCCAATAGGAAGCCTGAACACCAGCCAGAGGGGGCACAAACCCAGAGGGGGGGCTCTCTCGCCCCACGCCCTGCGGCAGGGCCTCTGCCCTCTGGGGTGGGGCCAGCCCAAGAAGACACTGTTTGCTGTGGCGGTTCTTTGTTTCTTCTGTTTTGTTTCCTTACTGCTGAGATCCACTTCAGGCCCCTCCAAAGGGAAACGTGGGGCAGAAAGGCTTAGACAAAACAGCAGCAACAAGAGCAGCTGTGCTGGTTCACAGCGCAGCAGCAGCTGTACACTTGCTGACAGGGGTCAGACATGTAAGCAGTGTTCCCTCTAAGCTGAGTTAGTGTGAGCTAGCTCACAGTTTTTTAGCCTCTGGCTCACACATTTTTGTCTTAGCTCACAACTTTAACACCAGTAGCTCACAAAGTAGAATTTTTGCTCACAAGACTCCACAGCTTAAAGGGAACAGTGCACGTAACCTCAATAATACTGGATCAACTGCATTGGTTACAAGTTCAGTCCCAGTCCAGGTGCTGGTTTTGACCTGGGACCCGTTTACCTGCAGGATCATCTCTTCCCATACAAGAGTAGGCAAGCCCTACGGCCTTCTCAGTAGGGTTTTGTTTTCCAGTTCTCCAAAAGAGATGAAGACAGCCTGACCCTGCACGGGAATGGTTACTGTGGCTGCCGAATGCCTAAAAAAAAGGGCTACTCCCCCCTCCTTCCCCTCCACAAGGCAGAGCTTTTGGCTGCAGCTGAATGTTAGTTTGACACCTTAACATACCAGATGATTCCTTTAGTGTTTATTGTATGTGGAACTGGATGGATGCACCCTTTAGGAAAAGTGGCAGAGAAATAACTGAATACATCTGAGAACATATTATTTTCTGGGTAAAGAAATAACACAACCAAGACTGATAACGGAAGTGAAAACGTGGCAAAATTAGTTTCAGTTACTTTAATTTTTGTTACATGCTTTCAATTAAATGCTTTGATCATACTGCACAGGGTTAAATATTTTGTTTAGACAAATTGGTCTAAATCTGTGCAATCTCAATGAACTTTAAGATACATTTTTTAAAAATCAAAGCTCTGTGGAGGCATATATTTATTTAATACACAGAGGACACAAAAATCAACTTATTTTAAGACAACAGGTCTCCTATTATTGAATGCTGCAGCCCTGCATACTGGACTCATTGGGATTTACTGCTGTGACCCACCCTGAGCCCGCCTGAGGGAAGAGGGTGGGATATAGATCGAAACAGATAAATAAATATCACTGGCTTCAAAAGGCTCTACAGAGCAGGTTCTAAGTAAAAACAATCTGCAGAATTTGTACCTAAGCCACTAGACACGGAATGGTAGACTCTGCAAATTAACGGCATAAAGTACAGTCCTGGATTATAAAACCAGTTCAAATATTTGAAGGACAGCAGCAAAATAATTAACCAGTCGTATTAACAATGGAGATCAGCACACGGTGGTTCATTTAATTCCACAAATATCGCTAGCAGCACAAGAGTGCATACAACTGATTTGTTTTGTTCAGTAGCTGCGGCAGCTTCCCTGGGATGACTAAACTTTAATTTATTTATAATAATTTTAGTCTGCCCCTCCTTCAAGAGACAGAGATGTAAAATTACTGGAAACTTTGGAACTATGGAGGGGGGACTTTTTCCTGCCCCCAAAGGACAATAAAAGCAAACTGGGGGAAAAAACGGGGGGGGGGGGGGGATTTGAAATAGGTGCCACGCCCACTTTCCTGTCAAGCCCCATTTTCCTGCTTCAACAGCATAAAATGCATTGTTTAAAACTTATCAAAGATATAAAATTGTATTAATTGGCAGATATACGGTATTTAAAAGTCTATATGCCTTAGCTTTCTACAAAATGCAAATATACTCAATACTAAAGGGAAAGAGAGTTGCAAACT